TAATGACACACAGGTAAACATCAGGTGTATAGTTTGACGAGCTTGATGATGTTGGTCTAAACACTGATGGTGAAGTCCCTCTGAACCTTCTCACACCTGTGTTTGAACCCTTATACTGATGCCTGAACCCTTATACTGATGCCTGAACCCTTATACTGATGCCTGAACCCTTAATCTCATGTCTGAACCCCTACATTTATCTCTGAACCCTTATACTTCGTGCTTGAACCTTTATATTGATGTCTGAACCCTTATATGTACCTTTGAACCCTTATACTTCGCGTCTGATCCCTTATACTGACTTTTGAACTCTCTCTCTCTCTCTCTCTCTCGTATTATATGTCCACATCCTGTTTCATTTCGTGGATAGGATAATGCATATGACAGTGATCACGTTACCTCTCTGGGGGTAATGGAAGGGAGAGGGAGAAGCTTAGTTGATAAGGGAAGATGAGTAGGGGAGGGTGTGGGGGGAGGGTGGGGGTGTGGGGAGAGGGGTGGGGGGGGGTGGGGGAGGGGTGTAGGGGGAGAGGGTGGGGGAGGAGGGTGTAGGGGGGTGGAGGGGAGGTGTAGGGGAGAGGGTGTAGGGAGAGGGTGTAGGAGGGAGGGTGTAGGAGGGAGGGGTGTAGGGGAGGGAGGGTGTAGGGGAGGGAGGGTATAGGGGGAGGGTGGGGAGAGGTGAGGGAGGGGAGGGTGTAGGGAGGGAGGGGTGTAGGGGAGGGAGGGTGTAGGAGGGAGGGGTGTAGGGGAGGGTGTAGGGGAGAGGGTGTAGGAGGGGAGGGTGTAGGGGAGAGGGGTGTAGGGGAGAGGGGTGTAGGGGGAGAGGGGTGTAGGGAGGGAGGGTGGAGGGAGGGGTGTAGGAGAGGGTGTAGGAGGGAGGGTGTAGGGAGGGAGGGTGTAGGGGAGGGAGGTGGGGTAGGGAGGGAGGTGTAGGAGGGAGGGTGTAGGAGGAGGGTGGGAGGGAGGGTGTAGAGGAGGGTGTAGGAGGGAGGGTGGGGTAGGGAGGGAGGTGTTCAGACCGTCATGTAACACCACGTACCAAACCTGCGGGTATTGGCTGATGTTGCCACAGTGATCAAACTCCCCACCCCCTCTCTCTCTCTCTCCTCTCACTCTCCTCAATCTCTCTCCCTATTTCATTCTCTCCCTTAGTCCTCCCCCCCACATTCTATCATTCTCTACTTCTTTCTCTTTCCAATTCTTTTCACCTAACAATTCTCTTCTTCTTCTTTCTTCTTCTTCTTCTCCTCCTCCTCCTCCTCCTCTCCTTCCTTTCTCTCCTCTTCCTCCTCCTCCTCTCCTTCCTTTCTCTCCTCTTCCCTCCCCCCTTCTCCTCCTCCTCCTCCTGTGGCGTGATCTAGGATTCAGGTGTCAGTCTGGATAACTTCAACGGAAATTTGCGGTCTCGTGTAGCTGACCCCAGATTCTTACGTTAAAGGGATCACTCGGAGATTAAATAACCTAACCTAACCTAACCTAACCTACTCTGACCTACTCGACTCGACCCGAGCCGAGCCTAGCCTAGCCTAACCTACCCTAATCTGACCTACTCTACCATAGCCTAACCTACCCTAATCTGACCTACTCGACTCGACCCGAGCCGAGCCTAGCCTAGCCTAACCTACCCTAATCTGACCTATTCTACCCTAGCCTAACCTACCCTAATCTGACCTATTCTACCCTAGCCTAACCTACCCTAATCTGACCTATTCTACCCTAGCCTAACCTACCCTAATCTGACCTACTCGAGTCGAGCCTAGCCTAGCCTAGCCTAGCCTAACCTAACCTATAGTAGACTCTCAGTGCAATTCCAACACCATCACACCCCCCTCCCTTTCTCTCTCCCTCCCCCTTCCCTCCCCTCCTCCTTCCCCCTCCGTGGTGTGGTTGTATCAGGAAGTCAGTCAGCCATGTTCAAGACCTCATTAGTACAGACAATAATATCCAGGTGAGGTATTTGGGGAAGGTTGGTCCAGGTAAATTAACCCTTTGAACTTACCTGTACATTTCGGAGGTCTTATTAGCCAACTTGGAATTTCGTTAAGGAATTTTTTAAAACTATTTTGTCCGTGTGTTTGTGTGTGTGTGCGTGTGTGTCTGTCCGTGTGTGTGCGTGTGTGTCTGTCTGTCTGTGTGTGCGTGTCTGTTTGTCTGTTGATGCGTCAGTGTGTTTTTATTATTATTATTATTATTCCTTTAACCTCTTTTATTATCATATATTTAGGTGACGCCGTTTGTTACATAGTGTGGGTGGAGGTGGGGGAGGGTGGGGAGGGGTGGAGGTGGGGGAGGGTGGGGGAGGTGGGGGAGGGTGGGGGTGGGGAGGGTGGGGCTGGGGGAGGGAGGGGATGGGGGAGGGGTGGGGGAGTGGGGGGTAATCTGAGGAACCTTGACGCTATAGGGGGTGAGGAGGTGAAGGGGGTGATTGGGGGGGGGGGGGGGGGGGTGGGGGAGGGGTATGAGGGGGTGGCTTTCGATCACCCGACACCCACCTCATTTCCGGCTTGATATTAATACTAATCACGGCGGCCCCCCCTTCCCCTCCCCCCTTCCCTTTCTCCCTTTACCAGTGGAGAGGGGGAGAGTGGTACGTGAGACCATATATACTCCTTATTTTCACATTCCCTCTCATTCTTCCTCTCCCTCTCCTCACCCTCTCCCCTCATCCCCCCCCTCCCACGCGCGTGCCACGAGGGAGCCACAAGCGACGCCCCTCTCAGATGCCATAACTGAACTAACCTAACACTACTGATCTCTCTCTCTCTCTCTCTCTCTCTCTCTCTCCCTTATATGTTAACTGTCTGATTGGGATGTGATAGTCTACACACACACACACGTACACACACACACACACGTACGTACACACACACACGTACACACACACACACACACAGGGGTTAAGCCAAGCCACAACAGATGTGCAGAAGACAGACACAGTAGGCCAACAGATGTACTGGTCTTGACAGATGTTCCGCCCACACCTGCGTACACTCATAGACAGATGACTCCAAGACGTGTGTAGGAGGTGGGGAGGGGGGGGAGGATGGAAGGAGGACGAAGGAGGAAGGAGGGTATTGGAGGGAGAGGTGAGAGGGAGGGAGAGAAAGAAGGAGGGACAGACAGACAGACAATACGCAGACAGAGACAGACATCCAAACAGAAAAAAACAGACAGACAGAGATCTAAACAAACAGACAGAAACAGAGAGAAAGACAGACAGAAAAAAAACGGGAAGGGGACACTACTAACCATGTATGACAGGTGAGTCATTGGTGTAATTAGCTACCTGTCATAGCTTAACTCAGGTGATACATGTTTCTACCTAGACGTTCATTCTTCTTTTTCTTCTTCTCCTCCTTGTTGTTGTTCTTATTCTTCTTCTTCTTCCTCCTCCTATTCCTCCATTTTCCTTCCCCTCCATCTAGCGCTCCTCCTCTCCCATCCAAATTCCTTTCCTTTTCCAACTTTTCCTTCTTCTCCATACATCTCTCTCTCTCTCTCTCTCTCTCTCTCTCTCTCTCTCTCTCTCTCTCTCTCTCTCTCTCTCTCTCGTCTATTTTCTATTAACGTATTTTCTTTATATTATCTTCCTCTTCCGTCTATGTATGTATGTATGTATGTATGTATGCATGTGTGTGTGTGTGTGTGTGCTATAGTACACATAGTTGCCGAGGTCACACTGTGGTTAGTAAGGTCAAAGTTCAGGAAGCGACCGTTATGGCGATGGCAGGAGAGAGAGAGAGAGAGAGAGAGAGAGAGAGAGAGAGAGAGAGAGAGAGAGAGACCCAAAAAAAAAACAATCATTTCAACATTTCCTAGTTATCAAATCTCTTCCCTGACCGTGAAGCCAACAGACCGTAACATCACCTATCCCGCTAATGGCACCCAGTTTTGGCATCCAGGATTGGCACCCAGTTTATGGTACCCAGTTACGACACCTATTTAATGCTTATTGGCACCTAGTTTATGGCACCGACTTATTGGCACCGACTTAATGGCACCGACTTATATATACACTTCAGTAGTAATCACAATTGCTAACTATATCCTCACTTAATCACAGCTGAGGAACGTGGTGAAAGGAACTGTCTGAGGAAGGACTTGTGTAGCTAAGAAATCCTCCAGGTGCAGGAGTTTCTGAGAGAGATCATTCGTGTTTACAGATACTCAGAGCTTATAGGTGGTGAGGATCTTAGCTGTGGTAGTAAGGAACTCTCTGACGAAGGAGTTATCTGGAAGTTAAGATAGAGTTCAGTATATCTTTCTTAGCTGATGGGTCAAAGCCACGTGAAACTTTTCCTCCAGATAAGAGAAGTAGCACCTCCAAATACCAGAAGTAGGACCTCCAAACACGAGAAATAGGACCTCCAAACACGAGAAATAGGTCCTCCAAACACGAGAAATAGGTCCTCCAAACACCTCCTTCTAAAACAAGAAATAGGGCTCTCTCTCTCTCTCTCTCTCTCTCTCTCTCTCTCTCTCTCTCTCTAGGACCTCAAGACAAAGAGGCCACGTCTATACAAGAGGGCCGGCAGAGACCTCCTGACCTCACACTATGTTAACAAGGAAGGTGTGAGGGCGACCGTAACAATGGATGGTCTTGTTGTGGCAGCTAAGACTAGTTCAACAGGGTCACATCAGAACAAAAGGGCAGTCGCTCCATAAGTAACAAAGACCCCCTGAAAACCCTAGACCATGTTAAACAATATCGAATACCTGTACAGAGAAATTCGACTGCGAAGCTTCAATTCCAAAGACCTTTTCGACGTTAATAAGAACTATAGGATCGCTAAAATAAATGTATATATCTCTCAAAGCTTCAATGACTTCAGTGTTTACAAGATGGTCAGACATAACAAAACAAAGGTGTACACATAAGCTTCATTTACCTCTAGTACCACGAACACCAAAAACAAAGGTACATCTCATAGCTTCGACGCCTTACAAATACTCAATGTTAACAAGATGACCTGGAATGCCGAGACAAAGGTACATTTCACCTTCCAGGACGTTCCAGCATGATCGTTCTCAACACAGAAGTCCACCTGCAGCATTCCTACGCCTTCGTCGGTATTGGGATTAACTTCTTCTCCCTCCTTCCTACCCCACTCTCTCCCTCTCCCCTACTCTCCTACCCCACTCTCTCCCTCCCTCTCCTACTCTCTGACCCTCCTTCCTCTCTATATTCGACCTTCCCCCCCCGTTCTCTCTCCCACCTTCTCCTAGACTCTCCTTCCTCCCTCTCCATCTACCTTTTCCTTCCTTTCCCCTTCCATCCACTCCCTCTACCTTCCCCCCTTTCCTTTACTCTCCCACCCCCTCCCACCTTATCTCCTACCCTCTACCCTCACCTCCCACCCTTTCCCCCACCCACTCTTACCCCTCTCTACACCCATCCTCCCTCCCTCCCTCCTCCCTCTCACCCCACAGTACCAAGAGGCCAAATAACAATCTCGTGGAGATATTTCTGGCCCTTGTTATAACATTTTACGGAGGTCGGTTCATTTTTCAATCACTAGGGTGAGAGGTAGTGGTTTGTGGTGCTGAGAATGTGTGATATTTAACCGGATTACCTGTAGATTAGACACCACGGATAGTTTCACCTGTAGAGTATACTCGCTCTAACGCTGACCTAATATAACCTAATCGGATCACCTGTAGATTAGATAACCCAGTTTATTTCACCTGTAGATTAAACACCTTAAACCTAACCAAACCTAACCTAACCTAACCTAACCTAACCTAACCTAACCTAACCTAACCTAACCTAACCTTCCAGAAACAGAAAAAAATAGAAAAAAAAAAATATATATATATACAAAGGAGTTAACAGGACCTGACGTCATTCCTTCGTCATAATCTCATTAGCATAATCACTTGGCATAGAATTATACCCGTGACAATTGGGGGGTGGGTAGGGGGTGGCAGAGGGGGGTGGGCAGGGGAGGGGTGGGTGTCCAGAGCTGGGGTGAGAGATAGACTTCAGGGGGAGGTGGGAAGGTGGGTGAGGAGAGGGAAATGAGGGAGGAGTGAAGAGGAAAGGTGAATGAAGGGAGAATGAGAGGGAAAGAGAGAGAGGGAGAGTGAGAGGGAAAGAGAGAGAGGGAGAGTGAGAGGGAGAGAGGGCCAAGCTTCCATAGAGTACCATAAGACCAGTCCATAGCTCTATATACATACATACATACATACATGTGGATGTGTGCGGTTAAATGTGGGTGGGTGTGGGTGGACGTATGAAACTGGGTGTGGATGTGAATGTAGGTGGATGTTAGTGGTTGTGGATGCGGGTGGATATATAAGGCAGGATGCGGATATGGGTGTAAGTGGATGCTAGTGGGCATGGTTGTATATATATATAAAGGTGAATGAAGGTGTAAACGAGTGTAAGTGGATGAGAGTGGATGAAGGTGTGGATGGGTGTGAGACTGTCAGCAGCAGATGGATGATGCTGTCAGCTGAGAGACGTCACGCTAAAGTGCTAAATTGCTGTCCTCGTCAGCTGTTTTCCAGGACTGTCACGTCTTGTAAGGGTCACCGTGTTGACAGCGGGTATAGCATATGTCGACAATGTGCAGTGATACCACCTCCGGGCGGCCTCCCTCTGTCCTTGTGAGTGTCATTGTCCTGTGTGTGTGTGTGTGTGTGTGTGTCTAAGGCAAACGCACTTTTCTGAAGACACAAAAAAAAACGAACCAAACAAAAAGACACAAACCACCATACTAATTCAGTGTCACGTAATTGAATATACACACAAACACAGACAGAATGAACATCAGGGTGTTATCATTTAAATTTCTGTCTGTCTGTCTGTCTGTCTGTCTGTGTAACACACTACTGTAGGCTAGGGAGTTTGTGACCACTGCTAACGTCACCAATATTTATTTAAAAGAATTCAATCGATAACATCTAGGTTAGGTTAGGTTAAATTGGCCACTCAGAGAGCACGACCTATAGGCCACTCAGAGAGCTTGACCTAGAGGCCACCATAGAGAGCACGACCTAGAGCCACTCAGAGAGCACGACCTAGAGGCCACTCAGAGAGCACGACCTAGAGGCCACTCAGAGAGCACGACCTAGAGGCCACTCAGAGAGCACGACCTAGAGGCCACTCAGAGAGCACGACCTAGGAGGCCACTCAGAGAGCACGACCTAGAGGCCACCAGAGAGCACGACCCAGAGGCCACTCAGAGAGCACGACCTAGAGGCCACCAGAGAGCACGACCTAGAGGCCACCAGAGAGCACGACCCAGGAGGCCACCAGAGACACGACCGAGAGGCCACTCAGAGAGCACGACCGAGAGGCCACTCAGAGAGCACGACCCAGAGGCCACCACAGAGAGCACGACCTAGAGGCCACCAGAGAGCATGACCGAGAGGCCACCTGAGAGCATGACCTAGAGGCCACCCAGAGAGCACGACCTAGAGGCCACTCAGAGAGCACGGCCTAGAGGCCACTCAGAGAGCATGACGTAGAAGCCACTCAGAGCATGACGTAGAAGCCACTCAGAGAGCATGACGTAGCCACTCAGAGAGCATGACGTAGAAGCCACCACAGAGAGCATGACATACAATTAGCGGTAGTATACTTGGGACAATAAACGATCCATCCGTACTGTGAAACTATGAACAAGAGTAAAACAAAGAGGTAACAAGACGGTAAACAAAGTCAACAAAAGCTAACGATCGTGAATGGAGGGAGGGAGGGGAGGGAGGGAGGGGAGGGAGGGAGGGAGGAGGGAGGGAGGGAGGGAAGGAGGGAGGGAGGAGGGGAGGAGGAGGGAGGGAGGAGGGAGGGTGGGAGGGAAGGATGGAGGGGAGGGAGGGAGGGAGGGGTGGGAGGGAGGGGTGGGAGGGAAGGAGGGAGGGAGGGAGGGGAGGGAGGGGAGGGAGAGAGGGGGGAGGGTGGGAGGGAAGGATGGAGGGAAGGTGATGGAGGGAGGGAGGGGAGGGAGGGAGGGAGGGAGGGGAGGAAGACCCTGATCTCTCCTCCCTCTCTCTGTCTCTCACCCACCTCTCAGATAAAAACCAAGAAGTAAAAAAAAAAGTAAGGAAGAAAAAAAATTGGGGATTTCACATTAGCAGTGCGGTCACGTCTTACGGCCGAGCGTACAGGGTGAGTCAGAGGCACAGCCGCCATCTTCACCATGACCTTCAACGTCCATATAACAATTTCTTCGGTTATTTTTTCTTCTGAGTTTAAATATTTATATAATTCTTGTCTTGGGATATAATTTTATGCTTTTGAAGATTTAATTTTTTTACGTTTTGGGGTAATTATTGCAAAAGGTTCCTTAACCACCCTGTAGGACGCTACTACGACACCCCTATTACCTCCATCTACCCCTCTCCTCACCCCGCCTGAGGGAGGGAGGGAGGGAGGTAGAAGGGACAGGGGTGAAACTCCTCACTCGACAGTGTTGCTACCCGAGGGACCAATAACAACCCCGATTCTGCAACTCTCACTAACCATTGGTTCAGACCTCAGTGAACTTGCTGCATGGGAGACAAATCACAATCCGGGATATCTGTGTGGGGGGGTTTCTGATTGGTTGACGGTGGGGTAGGAGTGCGGGTGAAGGTCCTGGGCGGTGCACACAGGGTAGTGGCCCGCGCATCATGATCCCCGTCTTACCATATGAGGCTGCAAGTGGACGCTCAACACCCGACTGTCCAAGCACCATTTTTTTATTCTCTGTCTCTCTCTATTCTCTCCTTTAACCATATAAACCCCACCCAAAACTCTCTATCTCAAGATTTATACAGAAAAAGCCTTACGGAGTTTATAAACACGTAAATAACAGCGATAAAACACGAGTAGACTTGGGGGTGTCATTGTACCAGATCCGTAGACAAGGTCACACAATACGGAGTAGCAACAGTCGCGTGGGTCAAGAGAAACAGAACACGCCAGGCGCTGTTGCCATAGTGACGACGACTCCCCGCTGTGCCAGCCTCCTGCCGCCCTCACCTTGATGCCACACCCACTTACCGTCTTCTCATTTTTTTTTTCCCTTGTTGTATACCAATGGTGGTCTGTAAATAAAGGACCTCTCTTGCTAGCGTCATGATCTGGCAACACTGTTTAGCATTCGAAGTTGATGCAAAAGTTATAATATATTTTTATCATGGATAATATTAACGTGGAACTTAATTAAAAATCATTATTATATATTAGTTATTATTATTTTTATTATTATTATTATTATTGTTATTATTGTTAGTTATTATTATTTATTATTATTATTATTATTATTAGACAGAGCAGCTGTTTAGTTTATCTCGTAAGAGCTTTATATAAAGTCGTAAGCATGGAAGGGTAGGTAGGTGGGAGAGGGAAGGAGGAGTGAGGCACGAGAGAGGGAGGAGGGGGGCGAGAGAGGGAAGGGGAGAGGGAGTGAGAGACAAGGGAGGGAGGGAGGGAGGGGGCACGAGAGAGGGAAGGGAGAGGGAGTGAGGGACAAGGAGGGAGGGAGAGGGGAGGGAGAGGGAGGGAGGGGGAGAGGGACAAGGGGGGGAGGGAGAAGGAGGGGGACAAGGGATGGAAGAAGGAGAGAGAGGGTAAATCTGGTACATGACCCTCTTTCCTCCCTCCCTCCTCCCTCCCTCCCTCCCTCTCCTCCCTCTCCTCTTTTTTTTTTTTTTTAGGACAACAAGAGACAAGGGTTAACGGAGCCTTAACGAGCGCCGTGGGTAGTTGGACAGTTAGTTAATAAACAAGATAATAGAGAGCATTTAACAAGGCAATTGGCTTGTGTTATCACTGTTAACGAGGCAAGACATGCATAGATAAGTCAAGGGTCATGAAGAACCTGTCTGTCTGTCTGTCTGTCTGTCTGTCTGTCTCTTTTCCCTTCACTCCCATTTTCTTTTCATTCCCTTTCTTTCTTCCTTTCTTTGTTCTCTCACTATCTCTAAGTTACACAAATTGTGGCCATGTAGCACAGTGTGGCCATGTTTTGTACAGTGTGGCCATGTTTTGTACAGTGTGGCTAAGTAACCCCAGTTGTGGCCAAATAAACCATAGTATAGGTAATTATCATAGTGTGGCCAAGTA